ACTTCAGAGTGTCTCCTGTTTTAAAAGCTGCAGTTAAAGCAGAATCAAACATGCTTGAGAGCGCGCAGTATTTTTATATGCAGGCCTGGGTTTCCTCCCAGACAAAAGTGTTTCAAAAGACCTGAAGAAGTATAAAAGCCAAGCTAGGGTTGTTAAGTTTATCCTATCTGCTTCAGCTTTCACTCACCCTAAGATTAGGTGTGTGTGTGTGGGCGTGCTCGGTGTGTGTGTGTGTGTGTGTGTGTGTGTGTGTGTGTGTGTGTGTGTGTGTGTGTGTGTGTGTGTGTGTGTGTGTGTGTGTGTGTGGTCATTAGGCAGAGCTGCAGTGGAATCCGTTTTCTCTCAATAATTTCGCTGTTCGGTTTTTGTGAGCCTGAGAGGAGGAATGAACATCCTGAGTTTATTGGCCATTAGAGAACTCAAGACGAGTGTGTGTGTGTGTGTGTGTGTGTGTGTGTGTGTGTGTGTGTGTGTGTGTGTGTGTGTGTGTGTGTGTGTGTGTGTGTGTGTGTGTGTGTGTGTGTGTGTGTGTGTGTGTGTGTGTGTGTGTGTGTGTGTGAATATCAGGAGACCCAGTTTGTTTGGCTAAGTGAGGCAATTTTGGTCTTTAAGTATCTCATGTCACTTCCCCTCAAATGGGGGCAAGTGATACAAGCAGTCCTTTCTTGGCCGCACATGCGTACACATGTATAGATGCTATTGTGCCTCATAGTTACTATTTGCTCCATCTTGATGGAAATATTTCTTCTCAGATGCTAATTTATGGCTGTAAAGTTGGATTTCTGTGCTTGGTGTGTGAACGTGATAATCAAGTGAATGTGTCTTTATGTTTTACTCTCAGATATATCTTCTATGCTGCAGCTAGCTCAGGAACAATCATCTTGCACAAATACTCATTCTGCCTTCCGACGCCCATATTAGGAAAATCATGATGACTAAAGTTGAATGTAACTAAAAGGGAAGCCAATGGGCTCACCCTTCCACTCAAACAAGAACACAACTACAGGAAACACAGTCGCTCGTCTAAAGTGGCCCGTTTCTTTAAGCTTAGTAAGACGTTACCTGATTGGTTCTTCGGGGTGGTCCTCTGATTAAGCTCACCAAGCGGAAACCAGACAACTTTGATCTGTGATTGGTGAGGTCAGTTCCAGAGGTCACCCTCTGTCTTAAGTGAAACTGAGGCCGGTGATTAAAAATTTGGAGAGCATCGTTCTAAAAATGAGACGTGACACCAAATCTAATGAAAGGGTTGAGGGCAGATTTCAGGAATGCATGGCACAGAACCGGTACTGATTCATATTTAATACCACATTAGCTCAGCAAAAAAATGATCAAGAAGTTTAAAAAGAAGCTTCATTCCTCCCTGTTTGTTGTCTGTTTTCTTTCCTGTTAAATAATAGAAAAAAAGTCAAATACTGGAAACTTCTTAAGTTTGTGCTTTTCCTAACCTTTTCCTCTTTTTTTAGTCCTTTCCTTGATGGTTTTTGCGTGCAGCTGAAACCTTTCCTGTGCTGCTTCAGAGGAAGCTGAACTCTGAACAGCTGCGCTGCTCCCTGCATGTTGTGACTTATGGAGAGCTGCTGTCCGCTTGGCTTTTATTGATAATAACACACTACCGGATGTAAATATGATTCCAGCTTCAACAACCCTGCCTGCCCCTTCTCTCAACCCAACACAAAGCTGTGCCTATAGGAAAGTCTGAGGATCGTATTCATGTCCGTCCCAAGGTGGAGAGGCAGCATCAGGACCGCGATCCACCATGATAAACGGCTCTGCCCTCATGTCTCTGTGTGTTTTTGTCTATGTGCTGTAAATAATGTGTCTTTTCACAGGTGGATGTCTCCATGTGGTGCACACAAACACACACACACACACACACACACACACACACACACACACAAGAGGGAAACTGGACTTTACTGCCACGTGTTATTTTAGGGTTGTCATTTCTCTTTTTTTTTTTGACTGTAAAAAAAACCAGGAAAACCAGTTTAGGTGTTTGTTTTCTTAACATCAAGGAAATAAAAGTTGGAAACTCCTTTAAATGACTATTTAACCACACACACACACACACACACAAACTCAGTTACCAGCTGCATGATCGGCGCCACTTGGGCTTTTGTCGCCCTGACCCAGAGGTGTTAATTCTACATTAATGCCTCGTCTATTAGCTTGACTAAAAGGTACATCTCTCTCTCTCTCTCTCTCTCTCTCTCTCTCTCTCTCTCTCTCTCTCTCTCTCTCTCTCTCTCTCTCTCTCTCTCTCTCTCTCTCTCCCTCTCTCTCTCTCTCTTTTCTCTCACACACACACACACGCACACACACATAGAGCATGGGCATGCACAAGTGTTAAGAGAAGCACTATGGAGAAACATGCAGCTGCTGTCCACCCACACTCCATCCACTCAGACCTGCTATACCACATGTACCACATTCTGCCATTCCAACACACACACACACACACACACACACACACACACACACACACACACACACACAG